TCTCGAGATTCATATCGAAATTCATCCCCGCCCAGAAGCTATCATCCATAAAACTCAGACCATTCTGCTGGCCAAGTTCACCGATAGAATCCGCCAGAGCGAATTGCGTGTTGAAAGCTGACTCTGATCCGCCGTTACTCAGCAACGCCCCCTGGAGCGCCTGCTCTGCCGCGCCGGACTCGTCCCACGCGAAGTCTTGGTCAATCATATTAATCAAGGGACACAGGCTCTGCTCTAGTGTCGGCTGAGGCTGCATAGAACTTGATACTGCACCATTCGTGTCGCTTTCTACCACCGCCGCCGATGCCGGTGCCGTTGGGTCCGGATCCGGGTCCTTACGGCCATCTTGCTCCTGTAGGATGGAGTTTGGCATCCGCTCCGGGTATTTCTGGTGCAGGTACTTGATCAGATCGGACCGCATCTTCGCGGCGGGACGCCAGGAGATGCCAAGCTCCGCCAGGACCTCGAGGCACGCTTCAATGTAGACGGTACAACACGGCCTTCCCGTATTCGCAAACTCCGGGTCGGGGCTCGCGTACTGAATAAGCACCAGCGCCGCGGTGAGCGTGCAGTGCGTCGCGGTAATAGGGCTCCGCCGGAACGAGCCAAAGACCTGGCGGTACTTTTTGCCGGCGTGGCAGATGCGTTTGGCCGACTCGATGCAGAGGACCTCTGCGCGTTTGGCCGTGTCTGTTTTGAGGGCCGGGGGCGTGTCTTTGGATTTGAGGAGGAAGGGCTTGAAGAGGAGGATGCAGCAGGTGTGGTAGACCATGTGGAGGGTGTAGACTTGGGGCAGGTCGTTGTGTTTGTCGATGCGGAGGTCGGCGGGGAGTTCGTAGAACCAGGTTTTGAGCTCGAGAGTGCAGGATTGAAGGAATGATATCCTTTGGGGGCCTTTGTAGAGTGGTTTTGGGGCGTATCTGAGGGGTTTGTTAGTTGCATGTTCGCCAAAGGGGGTTGTGTGGGTAAAGGGAAGCTGACGTACAGAGCCAGGAGGATGTTCTCGAGGATTCGACAGAGGCCTATCAGACCGCGGTGTACGAGAACCTTTTTATTGCATCTATTTACGTCGCATGAGTCGTTTGCTGCTCCTGCACTCATTTGTTCCGGTGTGTATGTTGATGGAAGATGGACAGCGCCTTGAACATCCTGTATCGAGAAGTCAACACAGACGGCACTCTCATAGTCGTTTGCATATGTGACATAGTGAAACTGATCTTACCAAGAGACTACAGACTCGCCCCGTGTATATGGCGGCAAGTTTGTCGTCGCAGTATAGGGCCCAATAAATCTGCCGCCTCAACTCTACTTCTTCGCTGGACATGTGGCACGTGCCAGACAATGACGACGCGTCAAGGTTGAGTCCCATGTCAAGAGCTAGTCGATTTGCCATTCCTTGGTGTAGCCATCCGGCAGCATCGCATCCGTAGGACTACTTGTAATGAGCATAGAAAACTTTGACACTAGTTCCTTCCAGAAACATACCACATAGACCCCGACCAGAATGGACATTGACTGAATTGTCGTGATGTTCGGTCGTTTCATGTCATAATGCAGAAGGACTTCAGCTTTCTGGAGAAAAACTTTGCCGGCCGAGTTTTGGTCGTCTGGGATGGAACGGGTGTCGATCCTATCTGAGTAGCGTGATCCCAGAGCAAGTATACAGTTGAGTAAACAAGGACTAAAGAAGCGGCCCTGCGTTCTCATACTCTCTCTGAATAGCTTCTCGTCAACCACTTGGCACCAGGGGTTTTGATACTCAAAGAACAAGTCTATCAGTTCTGTGGTAAGATCCTCCGGGTAGACGTCTGCCTCCAGAGGGAGGATGTAACGGTTAGTCTCCATGGACTTGGATGTCAATGGGCTGCCATGATCGTCGGACTCGGGCGTAGATTCTAGAGACTTGTCAATAACCATCCCAGCCGGGGATAATACTAAGCGCCCGATACGCACCACTCTGGAACTCTAAGCGGCCGCTCGCCGGGCCGAAGTATCGCATCTCTCCATCCTGATCATAGTTTACCGATTCATCCAGTGAGAGAGCTCCTTCAAAGGTGGCACATAGGTCGTCAAAGGCTGAAACGCTGAGTCCAGCATCGCCAGCGGTTGCTAAAGTGCTGGCGATGGACGGTAGTTGTGGTGCTGATCCGGTGGCCGAGAGCTGGGCGACGGCAGCCTCAACATCGATGGTGTTGGACTGCAACACTGCTTCCAGGAGATCGATTCGGTTTCTCAAAAGTTGTACATATGTCTTGGAAGCAGGCTTACGGCCGTCCTCTTCACTCCTATAGAGACAATTGATGGAACGTTCGGAACATCGGCCACAAATAGGCCGCAGTCCATCACACTAAAAGTTGGCACCTTTCAGTCAGCATCATAGACTTTTAGCCAGAGCATCAGCCCATTGTCTATACGAGTATCGTAATTTGTGTAAAGCCCGAACTCAGCCGTCATAAAGGTGTGGGCTGATCGACCGACTGGAAGGAAAATATATTCCACCCACCTTTGCCCTTCGGCGCCGACACTCCTCGCACGCCTTTGACGTGTACCTGCGCTTCGGTTGGCTTGCGGCCCGCTCCGACGACGCTTGGGGCATTACAGCGAAGGAGAGGAGACACAAATAAGATGGGCAAGGGTCCTCCACCACGAATGATATAATCCTTTCTGATTCAGTCCGCGGACACCTTCGATTTTGGTTCAATGAGGAAAGTCGGACGTACAACGGTTGGCACTTGGTAATAGTTCGCAATTTCTCTTGCCCAACAACCACGGCACTGAGATAGTCAAGGGCGGGGCCAATCACATGGACTAAATTCAATGGATGACTAAGGAGCGGGGGAGGAATTCATATTCCGCCCTCTGCGTCATGGCACGAATATCTTTTCATGACTTTTGAGCTAGAATTCTGTTGACAAAGAGTCGAATACCACTTCTTACAAGCCAATCCATGGTGTTGCTATAGAGAAACCCTTCCGTTTACAGAGGCTCTGATGCTACCATCAAGGTCTTGCAAGATCTGCTAGGCTGTGATGGCTTCCAGCTCTCCTTCCAGCTCTCCGTCTTGGAAGTGTATCCGGACGCTTTGATCACGCCGGGTGGGGCCGCGACGCGCAGGGAATCTTCATCGAGTTCTCCTGGTAAGATGCAAGTCAAATCCTGTAATATCTGTATGTTGAGAAAAATACACGGGAAGCTCTGATTCTCAACACTGGTTTGGAAGATGCGATAGCGAGAATATGATTGCCTAGACAAGAGACATCGAGTCCCAAGTCCGAGAATAAGACCACCTCCGGCCTTGGCCCGGAGATCAGATCGCGGGAAACCCAAAATAGAAGTCAGAGAAGACCCCCGTGCGGATCAACACCGTGTCGGTTCATCTTATGCCGGGCCACCGACTTGATTACTCCCGTCTTTGTGAGGGAAGGATTCCAATGCGCCTGAGATTATCTGATGCTCTGATTTGTCGCCAATTTCAAATTCTCGGTACGCATGAACGAAAGGCGAGCTGAAGTGAAGGATTACCGGACCTCTGATAAACCTGAAGGCTCTATCGCGTCCCTGATCCCCCAGAGCGCACAAGAGTATAACCTGGACCCCTACCTTGAAGCGCATGCTGAGCGCATATTGGCGACGCGGCTCAGCCAGGGACACTGATACTCGATCGCAACGCCCCGAAATTGACATTCGCTTTCACAGCAACAACGAGGTGCAACCGTCAGCGCCATGACCGGAAGACACGGACAGACAGCGGGTCTACGTTTTAGCGCGCGTGGAACGCACCGACGACACCTCAAGCACACCCTCGGCGCAGCGAACTAGCCGTAATGTCGATCATAACAACGTCTGGCCTTACGTGGACACCCAGACGTTTGTTTTGAAGACTGGATTGGGAGGTGATTTATTGGTGTATTCTCGAAATTTTCGGGGGGAAACGCTTACTTGGAACGACTTGATAAGTGTAATCTCGGCCCGCAACGATCCCTCCCTGATGGCTGTCAACGGCTTACGCCGCAAAGGAGATTTTCTATCACCAGGTCATGCCTCCTTCGACGATGGGGCAAACCTGGGGATATTTTGAGCCTTACATTGACTTCAATGCAATCTATCGTGGATGATCTTGCAAGCGCAGGTCTCACTAAATTGTGGTTGGGACGAAATTAGGGGTTTTGACGACCTCCAGTACCTAACCTCCAAGCTTGCGCAGGTGCCAAGCAGGGCTACAGCTCGAGTCCGCAGGCCGTGTGATGGGAATGCGGAGACTGCTCTCCAGAGACACGCGCAACTACGACTCTTATGCAACAAGATGCATGTCTCGGACGAACACCTGGGTGATGGGCATGTCTCACGCAGCATTCGGGAAGATGGTAGGAGCTTCGCGTCCAAAGCTTCGGGACCAAACGCAAACAGCGAGAGCCAGCGCAGCCGAGCCAAGGTTCGAGAGACATGGTTTCTGGACTGAAACATTTCCAAGAAAACATTCCCATCGAGACAACTGTTCACTGTTCCTTCTCTCAACGCCACATGTCTATCATACCAAGTCAAATCCCTCTGTTTTCGTACCGATATCAAGACTCTGTTAATCTTACCTGCGTTAACTAGAGCCCCCCACGGACTTCTCCACGGATGCCCGCCTCCTCTTCCCCTGGGCCCCTGGAAGGACAGACAAAATCCGAGCCCATCAGCGTGCAGCATCGAGGTCTCCTAGCGTCATGCTTCAACGTCCGGCTCGGCGGGAGCACGGTCGGGGCACGGCCGGCCCGATGCCACTTAGCCTCCCTACTTGCGTCTCCTGCTACTTGCCCCCCGCGAACCATACCGTCCTGAACCGTCAGCGGCGCAACGGTCGGTTCACCCTTTTCGTGGGGCTCCGATGGTGGAATTCAGAGTTAAGGATGAAGAAAGTATAGGGGGGGAGAAGGGGGGCAGACGGGGTTGCGAGGTATGGAAACATCCAACCGTCCGAAATGATTGAGTTTGTTGCTGGCCTGAGCGAGGTCAAAGAAAGACATCTATAAGAAGGTTCCTGCTGGTCTTTGGTCATCGTGCATCACTGGCCTCGCCTTTCATTACATACTACAGCTAGCAACTAAACATACTCACTTCCTCGCGATTTCCCCAATCTTCAACCACCACCAAAATGCCTTCCACCGTCGTCTCCACCCCCGTTCCCGCCGGCGTCGACCGCAACGCCGTCCTCTCCGCCATTCACAACCACGACCTAATGGTCAAGACCCTCTGCCCGGCTCTCATCTCCTACAATCTCGAGTCCGGCTCCGTTGGCGTCGGCCAGTCCGCCACCTACTCCGTCACTGACAAGAAGCCCATTGGCCAAACCACCTACCAGCTCACCATTACCAACCTCGAGGACGGCGTCGATACCCTCGTCAACGCCAAGCCCCCCGTCGGAACCCTCGTCATCAACGGCAAGTGGCGCATCGTCAACGAGGCTGCCGGTCTCATTCTCCGCGAGGAGGTCGACATCGAGGCCAACATGCTCATGAAGAAGATGGCCAAGGGCAACGTTGAGAAGACCCACCCCGAGCAGCACGCTGCTCTCCTGGTTCAGGCTGGCAAGGCATAGATGATGTGTCAAAGCGACTATACCCCACTGGCTGTGTTCATCGCCTTTGGAATCCGCTCGGTGTGATTGGCGTTCAACGGATACTGGGATCTTGTGATGAGATTACCTCTGATACAATAATGGGAATATGACTTTTTGGGATACTATAACATTTACTCTCACATGTGGAGCTGCTTAAAATCTTGTGTGCCGTACTTTCGTGACTTGATCATTCCTCATGACGTAGGTTGGCGAGAACTGGTTCTGAATCCACCCAATCTCAACGCTCATGCCTTCGAAGCTTCTTCGGGAACGTGAGCGACAACTTCGATCTCGACCCGCATATCGTCCTCTCCAAGCCTCGGGACTCCCACGCACGTCCAAATCGGCTTATGGTTCGGCATCCACTTTCTAAAATTCCGTACCATGGCTGCCAAAGCTTCGTCGTTAATCGGCACATGGTATGAGTTGACTCGGAACACCTGTTCCCAGCCTGCTCCACCGGCATCTTTGAGGTTGAGATCCACATTGGCGAATGCTTGATCGATTTGGGCGTTAATCTCCTTGTAAAACTCGCCCGTCTTGGGATCCCATCCGCCTGAATTATCGTGTTAACATGTGTTTGGATTTGAGAAGACTATTGGAAGCACGACATACCTTGACCAGAGCACTCAATGCGGTCGCCAATTCTCACTGCCTGGTTGTAGCTGAAACCCGCGAGATTTCTCTGGCCTACGCCTTCATATGAGTAATACTTTAGATGAGACATGTGGGCAATGTTTTTGGGACTTCAAAGAATTGAGATGTGGTAACTAGGCTTTGGCTCAAAAGGATTCAGTACACGTAATGGCAGCGGCTCCAAATTACGTCCTCGCGATTCGACAGCTTTTTATATATAAGAACCGAGGCAAGCTGCGCAGACAATAAACCCCGACGTCATGTAAAGATAGCGGAAACTATATTCCTTCACATGCGGAGCGCCCTAGGCTCTCGTAGCGCCTGACTCGAGCCGATCCGACTACCTATGCGGGGCTCTTCCGACTACAGAGTAGACACATCTACTTTCGGAACCTTTCTACCTTGGCTGCTTTGTTACAATACAATTTCTAACAACCTCTTGCCTGAGAGTCGATTACTAATCCCACAATGTCACACGAAGCATATGAGATCGTACCGCTCTCTATCATTAACCATTTCTCTTCCCAAAAGGCAAAATCTTTCTTTTTGTGTGTATAATGTCCCTCTCCGGGAGACACGAAACTTTTTCATGAAGGGTTGAACCTCACCTAGAATACGACTTGACTAAACACACTGGTTGAGCAGTGCAGTCGGATCAAAGCTGATAGAGTACGAAACCAAAGACAAGTCGAAAGTCAAACATAGACAGAGCAGACCAAGTCAAAACAAAACCAGAGACGAACGACTTTTGAGTCTCCATCTACACGCCATCATAACCTTTACAGCAGAATTACCCCTCACCGGGCATACTGCTAGTTCTCATCCCTTCACTCACTCACTCACCCTTGCCAAGCAGAACCAAGTTAGCCACGTTCATCGCGGCCATGATGACCCAAACCAAGACCGCAAAGCCAGCAGTGTACCATGAATTCGCCATCTTGACGGTACCGTCAGTAGGGGTTGCCGTGGACTCTTCCTCGTCAGTCCCAGTATTACCGACCCTGAATCGGGCGCCGCCTCCCGGCCCATCCCGGACCGTCATGAACTTATCTCTGCAGGTAAAGTAGATCAACGGCGCAGTGACAAAAGGCAAAACGACACTAAGAACAACCTGCGAAGCATTCAGCGCCTCGCTGACGCCCTTTCGTCCCACGGCGCCGGCAATAACAATACTCGGCGTGACGCTGATACTCCGCGTCGCCAGACGTCGCAGCCAAGGACGGACTTTCCAGTTCAGTGCGCCCTCGCTGACCATCTGCCCAGCAATGGTACACACGATACCCGCAGAGACTCCAGAGAGAAGCAGTGCGAGAGCAAAGATGGTGCCCGCCGCCTTGGAGATGGAGTCCTTGAGGAGTTGGTGGATGCTAAAGATGTCGGCGTCCGGTGCTTCGGGGTTCCCGTAGAGGGAGACGCCCGCGACGATGAGGATGGCTGAGTTGACGAAGAGGGCGAAGGTGAAGAGGGAGATGCTCAGCTCAGCGGTCGAGGTTTTGAGGGAGTGCTTGATTGCTTTGGCGGAGGGCACGTAGTAGCCTTTATCGATGCTATCGCCGTTGAGGTCGACTTCATCCATTTCCGGGGGTAGGAGGTTGTGTTTTGTGTCGTACTCTCGGAGACGGGCTTGGACGATGCCGGAGCCGAGGTAGAGGCTGTGTGGCATGACTGTTGCGCCCAGGATGCCGCAGGCTTGGTATAAACTGCGTGCTGTCAGTAAGCCTGTTCTGGAGGAGAGGAGGTGGGGGTTGTTACCCTTGCGACTCGACCACGGCATGCGATGGCAGATATCCCTGAAAGACTTCCCCAACCGGCGTATCCTTGATGAGCGATAGCTGAATACAGAAGCAGACAACCACGGCCAGCACCAGGCCGATGATGAAGTACTCAAAGATTCGCAGGCCTCTCATGGATCCGTGGGGCCTGTAAAAGATGAGAATGATCATGACGTCCAAGATGGAGATTGCGCATCCTGCAACGAGAGGTATGGCCGGCACAAGCAGGTTCAGGCCGATTGCGAAGCCAATCACCTAATCAGCCGCATCACTTTAGTAAAACTGAGGCCTTGGAGACGGAGACACAGCAAGTATCGGCCAAACTCACCTCGGCAATATCTGTTGCGATGATGGCAACCTCTGCGAAAACGTAGAGGACGTAGTTCATCCATCGCGGCAAGAAAGCCCGACATGCTTCAGCCAGGTTGAGTCCTGTGACGGTACCAAGCTTGATACAGAGGCTCTGGAGGAAGATGGCAAAGAGGTTGGACAATAGTACGACAAAGAGCAATCTGAAACGGTAGCTTGCTCCTGCAGCGACATCTGTTGAATAATTTCCGGGGTCAACTGTGAAAGGTGAGGAGGGATGTTAGTCAAGTTCATTCCTTTTCGCGGGTATTTACGGAAGGAGAGAGCCGGGAAGAATCTCACTATACGCAACAGCAATCATGAACCCGGGCCCGATAAACGAGCCAAACTTCACAATGGCCTTCTTCACCCGGCTGTACAAGACCTGATGAATCTTGGGCGTGTCTCCTCCATCACTAGGGGGAAGTTGACGTGAGTGAAGGGTAGGGAGAGGGGTCGCGGGGACCTCCTCTCCCTCGGGTAGACCAAGTCCATTAGACTTGGTCGTCGCGGCCGCAGCCGCGGGACCGGAGCCACCTTTGCCCCAATCCACATCGTGATAGGATCGCGATATATCCCTGTCGCCCGTCCCCAATTCACCCGCCAGCGATAGGCCCTTGTCATCCTCCCCCGGCTCTAGGGCCCTGGCGTTGACGATGCCGTTGAGGTCTTGGTTGGTGGTCAAATCATTGGACAGATCGTTCGGGCTCTGATTGTAGCCTTCCCCTTCGTAGGGTTCGTCTGTACGAGACGGACGATTCATTGTTTCGCTGCACTGTACTTCAAAGTAAAGGGCTAAGGAAAGAAAGGCGTGAATGACTTCATGACACGCGTTGTCGTCAAATCTAGGGTTGTCGGCTAAGCGGCTACTCAAAACTCATGACTAATCACAAGACACACCTAGCGGGCCCGTCTAGTTTAACGTCGGCTATTGTTGCCATTATCTACAAAGATGCATCTCAAACGGTATTCACTCATTTTCTCTAGATACTCATCACTGTTTGATATCGGAAGCCGCCGTAAGATGAAAAAGTGGTTGTTTCCTAAAGCGGCAAGTACGCTATGAAATCCACTTTGCCAAGCAGCCAAGCAGCCAAGCAGACTAGAGAACTCATGGTTGCATGCAGTCCATTACTTCAAGTGACCAGAAACTCGGGATTTTATAACGGTTACAAACATTTCTAGATCTTGTGTATCTTGCCTCTCCATACAAGAGAAGAAGCTCGTTGTACGTCAACTTGATTCGCGGCTTTTTGACTTTCATTCCAGGACCGTGAGAGAAAGTGATTGACAAAACTACGGATGATGAGCATAGACATGGATATCAATACGTCAAGTTACATGGGAATCGACGACTACTTATAAAGTAAAAACACCACAGGTATGCATGATGGAAGCCATCGTTCTGCATCTGTATCGACTGATTTTACGAAAGTTTTGCTTGCCTGAGCATTCTGTCATACGTGGTAGAGTCGCAGACATGGGGCCTGATTTAATAGGCATGAGCCCCTTGATCACATTTCATCCGAATCAATATGTTAGACTCGTGCAGGTGATTACTTACAGGAACTTCGGAATCAAATTCCTACCTGAGTGACGAATGGCTCTCGTTTACAGATCCCGTATCGTTCAGCATGCCATGCAAGATGGGAATCAATCCTCTAGACCAACAGCCCGGAAGCGGTTCCAGCAGATCTATATCGAGTTTTTACGGATAGCTGGTCACAAAAGAGGAAACCACTTTCATTAAACCTGGTCATTCCGACACCAAATTCAAAATAGATAAAACAAAGCAAAAGTTGATAGTAGAACTGTAGTACCGATAGCCTTTGTATCCTATAGGCTATGGCTGGCAACCTGGCTACTCTGTCAACTGCTAAGTTGGCTCCAATATGAATATGCGGAATTTTGTAGGGGCAATAGCAAACTACCCATCAATCTGATCATATTTCCCTCAGTCTACCTATAAACAATCTCAAAATAGAGCAGAACGAGGAGAATGACTGCACTCAGATGTAGTGACACCATCCAGGAGTTTATTTCTGGGTGAATATCGCAACCTACATCGCGCTCTTACTCGTCGAAAGGGCATAGAATTTGTGTTAAGTAACAGGAGATTGATGTTAACAATTTGCCATGAACAGGCAGCTATACTGGGTTCTTAGCTTATGGACGATGAATGACTGCTTAGCGTGCTAGCCTACCTTACCCAAAGTTGCATGTCGTTAATACTTTTTCGCCTATAGCCACCAGTCAACTCCCGTGCACTCATTTGGCGTCAGGTCCTCGTCTCAACAGACCCAAATGTCATTCAGGAATCTTTAAGCTGACGAGCCCTCCCAAATTCAATTCTTTCGCCCCACTCCAAGCATCCGATACTGCAAAGCAGCAGACATCGAAAGCCTCTGCCACGAACCCGCGTCCCGGACCCGATCGCCGCTCCCGTAAGACCGATCATTCCTCACATGTCGTCAGCTTCCACCATCCCACCAACACACATACGAACACCCCCTCTACCTCATCTCGATGCTCATTCGGTCTTGTGGCGGCTAGAACCGCCAATGGCAGCCTTCTTCAAGCACCCTCTCTCCGACGTTTGACGTAGGCTCATCCTCTGCCGTCAGGTTGCCTTCTCTACAACCGTCTTTGATTAGCTCCATGTCGATCCATAAGCTCGGTGGGAGCTTCGTGTAACCACCATCGCACAACGTCGCGCTTGTATGGCCTCGTGTAAGATGTCGTAAACCCTTTCACCCCTCTCCAACCCGTCCCAAGGCGTTTTTGACAAATTGTCGATAGAAATGCCTGGAATCGAGCCTTACTCGACAGAATCTTTCCTCGTGTGCAACTTGGTCCCGTAATACGAATTGTCCCGTAATACGAATCGATGGTGGGTGCTGTGGGCGACACCGGTAATCGGTGGCAAATGACGTCGGCGTGCTTTCGTTATGTTCGGAAGTTGGTGAGGGATCTTCGTGTGGCGCAGGTCAACCACCACAAATTTCGCAGGCCGCGCTCGTTCGTGACTGAAAACTATTGGGTATCGTCAATCTTACAAAAAGTGGTCGAGACTGGAAGCTGTCACTTGATGGCCCCATTGTGATTGCGGAAGCCAGGTCGATACGGATGGATGAAATAATTTCCTTTGGTCAATTCGAGGTCGATACCTCTCCCCGCCTATGGCGAGGTATATAAACAATATGCGAACGTAACCCCAAAGGCCGTAGCCCTATACCAAAAACCCGAAACGCCTGATGCTGTCCTTTGCCCAATATGTCATTTGACGGTTTGTCGAAACCCCCAATGATGATGATGTTCGTTAGTGTACAAGTCGCGAGCCGATGCAAGTTTTTTTTTCCTCTCCAAATACCGTGTCCGTGCCGTAAAGCCATAAACGAGTTTTCAGTATAACGCTATAGGCCATTTCGGCCACAAGGGGGTATCATGCCCTTCGCGGGCGGTGTCCGATTAGGCGGTGTAGTGGGTGCTCGAAGAGCACTTCCTTGGTGTGATTGTTCCTGAATGGCGTCAGGATGCGCGTTCCCCTTTATAGGTGATCAAGCTGTCGCGGTCTGAGTGCGAGTCCACAATGGTAAGGAGCGATTCAACGGGGGTGATGTGGTGCAATCTGTATCCTCCTCTTCAAGCTGGAAGTGTTTGTAGGATCCTTATTTCTTGCCCTTGGTTGGCGCGGCAGTGATTTTACTCGTGGTCATGAGGTCGCCAATGTATTTTTGGAGGAACTTGTTATTGTTATCGAGCTTGTCATGTTCTTCTCTGACGGCCTCGATGCGGTTGAAGATGGTCAAGAGCGAGTCTTGCAAGGCCTTTGCGTGTCTGTAGGGAAAGGTGCTGTTAGTGATTGGCGCGTCTCGAAGTGGCAGAGGGTTTCGGTTACCTCTTGAGCTCTTCTCGCGCTTCCCTTCCAAGTGCTTCGATGTCTTCACTGGTCCTCCGTGGGCTCATAGCCCTCACGTCGTCGGGTCCAAACTCTGCATCTACTGGGCCCACTGCCGAGCTGTCCCGGGGTACCACCAACGGCCCGCTGCTCTTTCTGCTGGGCAACCGAGGTCGGATAGGAGTTGGCTGGTGGATGTGGTGCTCGTCGTGTTCGTGATCGACAGAAGAAGAAGACGAGCTTGATTGGGACCGCTCGATGTGAGGAGGGAGATGCGATTGTTCGCTGAACTGTGCCTGGTGCTCGTTGTCCATGTTGACAACGTTGTCGAGTTGGCTGCTATGATTGTGCTATGAAGTGGTGATTGTCGGTGAGAGTACTTCGCGAAATTGCTGGCGTTTAGGGGACGGTGTTGATTGATTCGATTGCCAAGGGGCAGGAAAAGTTGGTTGCTAAAGAGCGAGGAGGGCGGCTCAAAAGGCAAATGTGGTTTTGAATGGATGCAACTCCGTCACCAGACTCGAGTTGAGAAACGGGGTCTTGCCACCTTGTAAAGCAGGGTCAAGGCTCTCTGGAGCAGGCTCACAGTGGCGGAGGAGTCGAGGATGGCGGCGGAAGAGTCAGGTGGTTGCAAAGGTGGTATTAGTAGCGGTGATGGCGGCGGGTGGTGGTGTATATGGGGCGTGGATTATTATGGAATGTAGGGGTATTGGTGGTTGTATTCCGGAAGCAAGTAGGGTCCTACCGGTCTCGTAGGCAGGGACAGAGCCGGCGGCGGGAGGAGGAGGGAAGAAGAGCAGATGAAAAGGAACAAGCCGAGTGTCGAGCAAAGGGGAAGAGGAAGAAAAAAGGCGCGGTGGGCCGCAACGGGTAGTGTATGACTATGAATGGGGGGCAGACGAGGTCTCGTGGGTAGTGGGTGGGTTTTTGGGCAGCCTCTGCCTTTTTTTTTTTTTTTTCTGCGCTCAATTTTCCCTCTTTCCTTGTCACTTCGTCTTTGGGGGAGGGATTCGTATGGGCTCTGGGAAGAAATCGTCTCTCGCGCCGATTACTTCTCTTTTGCTGCTCCTTGAAGGTGGGGGTCGTATGGCAATCGGAATTTGGGGACCGAGAGAAAAGAGAATAGAGACCCAGAGAATAGGTGACTGAGAGTGGGAATGTCGTGGAAGTAATACGGGATTGCGACGGTAGGGAAGACCGAGCGAGAGAACGGAGGTGATGAGCGACAGCACGTCGTAGACTCGCAGGTATGTATGTATGTATGTACTCGGTAGCGTGCGGTTGCGTCGACGGCCGTGGTAGCTGTACATACAATGGAATGCGATCTGTGGGATTGGCAGAGAAAGAGGTGAAAGGGTCGCAAATAGCTGGCTTGGCTTGGGTGGGTTTTGCTTCAGGCGTTGACGTTTACAGGCGGCCAAGTTGTCGCGATCTGCGGTACTCAGGACCAGTTGCAAAGAATGGGATGCCCTCTTTGGCCCTTTTGGTTGGACTTTGGAGGCTTTGTGGTGTCGATCGAATTGGGGCCCTTGCCAGACTCCCACCCAATGTCGTAGGAGTCGAGGATTGAGTCTGCGGCAAAGGCAGAACCGGGGGCTTGGGAGCTTGGTGTGCGAGGGCGCCTTGAGTGCTGCTGGGGGTGGTGGAGAGTGACGATGGACACGACAGGGGTTGCCGAGAGGGACCGCAACACAACGACAGGGGCGGGACAGTAAAGGTCGAAGTGGCAGTCGTCCGTTGTAACTGGTTGTTATTCGTAGAGTGGCCCGGTCAGGCTGAAGCGGTGTGGAGAAGGATGATGTTATCGCAACCGTTTTGTCGCCGTGCGTGTGTCGTGGGTTGTTTTGCCTCTGCAACTCTTTCTTCTGAGGGGAGGGGGCTTCTACTGGGACTGGGTTTGCTTACTTTGCGAGACTCGAGAGGTGTTGCGTAGCTGGGTGCCTCTGTCATGCCGTGCGGCTTGGATGGTATTCTTTAGGGTATTCGCAGGTTCGCCTGGTCGGTGCGGTGCAAGCTGCGAAGAACTTGAGTAGCCAATGTAGTCAGCTAGGTAGGTAGTGGCTTGGAAGCTGAATATTGGGAGACGCAGCTGGGGGCCGTGATGCTGTGTTGCTGTATCCAAGCACGGTGTGGATTGCGCGTGGCTATGTAGGAATGGATGGCTATGGCATGTATGGGTTCGTACTAGTATTTCCGGGTGTGTGGTGAGGAAGCGGCAGCATGGACGGCCCCCATGTGATGTTAGATTGACCACCGAGTCCAGTGGAATTACGGGAGGGTCGAATCGGAGATGGTGAGAGCAAGCTGCCACACTGCTCCGGTGCCACAGTGTCCAATAGTGCCTATGGTAGATCTTGAGCGTAATCGAGTTCGTGATGCTGCTTCTGTGGTAGCGGTCTGCTCATTACTAGGGATATGCAAGCAGGAAAGATGGCGGCGACTGTGGTCTTTGGACTATGTAGTCTGATGTGCTGACTAGAGACTCAAGTCGAAAACAGATCGTGCTTGAGCCCTTGAACCAGCCATGCACCTATGGAAGCAGAAACACGCCGAGCAGGAATAGTGTAATAGTGCGCAGCGGGGTGGCACGGCCTGGTTGGAATTCGAGATTGACGACAACCTCAGAGGGCGACGGCGTGTTTGTGATTGTTTGCGCCTGAGACGGATGAGACTGATGAGACGGACGGATGCCAGAGAGGGGAAGGGCGGTACGTACCGAAAAGCTCTGGTCACTGGGCTTGTCCGTCAGGGCACCTTCAGAAGTTCAACCTGGGGAGGAACACCCAACTTCCAAGTACCTTGGTATTGAAGCAGGTAAGGTGAGGTAAGGTACCTAGGTAGGCTGTTGCTAAAAGCGTCCAAGTGCCCGGTTAGAATGGAAGGTGAGAGGAAGCATTTGGGGGGCAACGATGAGGCAAGGAACCGCGCAAAAGATGGGGAAAGCAGGGAAAGACCTGACGTGGGAAAAAACCTACCTAACAGGGAGGCTACCGCATTTCACCGAGGGCTTGGTGTACGTACCTCAGGTCTTTCCATTGGATCCAGGGAAAGTATCCCCGTACCGCACCGGCGGGTCCTTTAATTCGGTGTCCCTGACCCTGCGCTTGCAAATTGGTGTATTTCTCTATGTATCTTGGTACTTGTCCACTTGACCTGAGGCATTCTTTTTCTGCCCACATGTCACGCTGGCCTTCCCCACACATTGTGACGTTGGTCGGGCATGTCAGCATCGCACCCTGATACGTATCCAAAGGCACATGATCCCCTACCTGCGTAGATACGTATCTACGTACTCTGAAAAGACGGTCTCCCTTCCGTTGCTTTCTCTCCGGCTTCCACGTCCACTTCCACTTCCCGTCCCGTAGCCAATTGCAATTTGCTGGGTGTCACCGTGCCACACCGGACGAGCTTCCGTTCTTCTCATCCTCATCCTCGGCCTCTCCTTCCATCCTGATTCATCGTACTCCCCGTCCTCCGGGCCTTTCTCTCCTACGGTCCTACCGCCTTTTTCACGATGTGTTGACGATTCTGTAGCCTGAACTCGCAGTCTGGTCTATGCTTGCCGACTGCCACGCCTGCCGCCTGCCGGCGATTTGCAATTCCACCTACTTACACTAGTAGGGTGTGACAAGACACTAAGGCAGGTGGCCCGGAGTCTTGCCGACGTCGCTCCATGTAGCAATCCATAGCAATAAGGCAGCATGCGTCTCGCTGAGAATGTTCAAACTTGAGACTACAGCCTTTCCCATATCATTTTATCACGATCGTGGACCAAAAAGCCCCCGCCTGCACAGTCATTTGTGGTGGACGAGATTATCCATTTCACAAATGCCACCCCTCGCATCCATCACTCCTCCCTCTTGACTCCTTGAGTCGTAGCACTGCTGTGCAACAGTTAATGCCGCCGATCCCCTCCATTACTGCTTGCTTCTGCTTCTCTTCTCTTCTCCTTAGCATCGTCCAAGTAGTCACCCACCCACCACCACCACTGAGCGATCCAAAAGAAATCCCTAACGGAGGAACAAAAACAATTGCTTGCCAAGATACCTCACCGATTCATTGGCAAATACCTATCAGAACTTCCACACTCACACTTGCTAATCACCTGTCCAAATGGGTAGCAGAGATATTGCTTAGGTATCAGGATTTGTCTTCCCTGACCTCCCACAAGGACCCTGAATCTTTAATCAACCAACCAACCAACCCAACAACAAACTATACTACATGGAAGCGAGCTGAGCAAATGCTGCTCAGAAGTCAAACGAAACCTACCCTTTGTGTCTACATTTGTGCCTACGCTGTGCCTCTGCACCCGCCGCCCGCGTCTCGTGGGACCAAGTACCCATGAATGCCTACCTCACCTACCTTAACGTAGGCAAATGGGTACGGAGTAGGGATAGTAGCAGTATAGATACAGAGTACGTACGGAACCTGCACAGAGTGTGCATTTCTGCCTGTCAACACAAGTAGGGATACTTGGGACTCTCCGCCGTTGAACCCCTACCAGCCCAAATTGGCTGATCAGCGTCTGTGACGCCATACCCTCCAAGGTCAAGACTGACACCCCCGATCTTCACCATCCACGACAGAAACTCGAGAGCTCGGAGTTGGGGCTACGGAGACGTATCCATCCATCCCATCCACAATCCGAGCATACGTTAAGATTTGTCTGCCGCCAAGCTCAACGCCTGACTTCTCACTGGCGCGCGAACCTCTCCGTCGTCCACTCCCGGCAGACAGCAGCCGGTTTGGCGGCGTTGGCGCCCTCCACCCGTCCCCGTCTTACCACTCTTGACTCTTGAGTCTTTACCTACGGATACTGCCAGGAGACAGGCGGTTACTGTCATGAATTCGTCTCCAGTACAAGGGCGGATTCTAATTCCCATACAACTGCCTGCCTGCCTGCTTGCCTGCCTGCCCGTTGGGCCAAAGAGGCGTAACTGCTCAACTGCTCAACTGCTCATTCAGCAAGACTCAAAAGCATCTCAAGTAACCACGCTAAACATCCGCATCCGTACAAAGTATATGGAGTATATACGGATACACCACACTACGCATCGACGGGGCATTTAAGGGCGGCAGGTCGCGATCGAGGTGGGGGTTTACGGTCCCTTTTTCTTCTCACGATGGAGCAACCGTCCCGCTTTCAACCGTTTCTTCCCAATCCTGATCCTCGCGTTTCTCGTGTCACGCGGCCAAGACGATGAGAAACTCGCCCCAGGACCAACATGTCGTGACAATGACATGGCGAAGAGAGAATTTCTTTTCTTCACCAGCGACACTCTGCCAGGTTCGAACCTCACGTCACCAAGCCCCGCAGAGCCGGAAGCCGAAACTGCGCGGCTTTGGGCATCCACGATGCTTATTCCAAGACACTGACTAACATCAGCAGCCGCCAGCGGTCGAACCCACGATACCTACCACTCTGTCACATCTCGGGATACCGACCGCCGTCCGCAAAAGATGACAGGATCCCTTCCCTCCCACTAAGGCAGGCCCCCAAAACTCAGTCGTCCAGTGAGTCCCCACCCACCCAGGACCCTCTCGGCCCCGTTCCTACATTAGAACAACCGCCCGACCCAGGTAATATTCAGCGCGACGTTGTACAGGATGGTATACTAGTTTGTTGCACTTGCACACTACATTAGCTTGGCCAGCGCCACGGGACCGACTGGGACCAAGAGACGGGGAGCACTGCGTAAGGCAGGGACAAAGAAGGCAGCACAAGGCAGAACTAGTAAGGAAAGGCTCACCGGCCAGGTAACCGAGAGAGCAAGCCGCTTGCTCGCCTGTTTGCTTGCTGTACTTGCTTGCGCTGACCGCAATGGAAAACCCAATGGCTGAGGGAGAAACCGAGAAAGAAGCATATCCTTTGTGTGTATCCGATGCAGGGACCCTGGAGAGACAGGTTGAGATCTCGGAAGGCTTTTTCTTCTCTCTCGCTACGCTTCCACGCTTCTTTCAAGGGCCACCTTTTCTCCCGGTTACACTAGTCCTCCTCCCTGCTCTCTGGAGCCTACTGATACCTTACAGTACGATAGATAGGTCGGCCTCAGGGATGTTTTGCCTTTTCTTCCCAAACTATCGACAAACCTCGCCTGTACGGATATTTACTCTTTTACTCGCCCTCAAACACAAAGATTGGTGCTTTGAACCCTCAGCGAGTACAAAGTACTTCGTGCCCCTCACGTAGTCTACCTTAGCTATGACGCGTTTGCTGGCGGCTGAGAACACACCCGAACGACTGCTCCCCATGGATTCTGGCATTCTGCCTGTCTGCGCCTCCAAGAATGATCCCGGCGCCACAACCGTCCATCTTACAGGCTGTGAACTCTCAACTCTCCTCCTCCTCCTCCACCACCACCACCACCAGGAAACCTGACGCACC